GAGGCTCCTTATGGAGTTTGATAGCCATTTGGGCAAGAAACTGTTCTTGCCTGGACTGTTGCATAAACTGGACACAGAGAACCCACAGAGAGAGGACTGCTGAACTTGCCTAAAGGTGAGATGGTCTTTCGGGGTTCCTGCTTCATGAAAGAGTCTGCGAGACATTCTGTAGGACACAGCAAAAAGTGACTGAACTGTCTTTAAAATTTCCTGCTTCATGGAAATGTCTGCTGGATACTATGGGCCTGAAGGCCAAAGATGGATGCCCCAATGGTACAGAGGAACTTTGGGTGACTGTCCAGGCAGCGAGATGTCTCTGTCATTTCTAGAGTTTTGGGTTTCTTGTTTGTTTAGGTAATATTATATCCTTCTGGAGTCTTTGATGGAGTTAAAGAATGGATAGATAGTTATAGTTTTCCTTAGTTATGATAAAAGATAAAGTAGATATAAATATTGTAACTGTAATTCTTGCTTGATAACTGTTTTGTTATATGCAATTTTACTATGTTAAAATAAAAGCCTTCTTTTTTGTTTAAACAGAAAAAGGGGAAATGATGGGGGAGAATCTTCTGTTTTATATTAATTTCATTGGTTAAATAAAGAGACTGCTTGGCCCTAATAGGACAGAAAATTAGGTAGGCGGAGTAGACAAAACAAAATGCTGGGAGAAAGAAGCTGAGTCAGAGTCGCCATGATTCTCCCACTCCAGACAGACGCAGGTTAAGGTCTTCCCTGGTAAGTCACCTCGTGGGCTACACAGATTATTAAAAATGGGTTAGATCAATATGTAAGAGCTGGCCAATAAGAGGCTGGAACTAATGGGTCAAGCAGTGTTTAAAAGAATAGTTTCCGTGTTATTATTTCCGGGTATAAAGCTAGCCGTGTGGGCAGCCGGATGCCAGGAACGTAGCCCGCCGCTCTTATTACAACAGGCTCTATACAAAATCAGGTTGAGCAAGCCCCAAGGAGCACCTCTCCAAGGCCTCTGTATCAGCTCTTGCCTCCAGGTTCCTGCGTTGTTTGAGTTCCTGTCCTGCCTCTTTTCAGTGATGAACAGCAACAAAGAAGTGGAAGCCAAACCAACCCTTTCCTTCCCAAGTTGGTTTTGGCCATGATGTTTATCACAGCAATAGTAACCCTAACTAAGACAGAAGCCTCATAAAGCCTGGGAATATTTGGAAGCAGTGATTGATCCAGGAAAACATGAGAACAGCGACAGAATCATTTGAGTAGTTCTTGGTTTCCTGTGATTCTGGAATTGAGGCTCAGGAAAAATATGCTCTTCACTAAAGGAGAAATGCCTTGGCTTTCTGTCCAACTCTATTTCCATTCTCTAATAATTTGAACAGTAAACACACTTGAAATGGAGGGATGGCTTAGTGGTTAGGAGCACTGGCTGCTCTTCCAACAGACCCAGGCTCGGTTTCCATCACCCACACGGCAGCTCAGAATCATCTGTAACTCCAGTTCCAGGGGATCTGATGCCCCCTCCAGCCTGTGAGTGACAGGTACACAAGTGTTCCACAGACATATATGCAGCCAAAACACCCATACACAAAATAAAATTAAAAAAATGTTTAAAAACCAGATAAATCATAAGCAACTTCAAAACACTGGAAAGATCATGATCTTAAGAACAAGAAGCTGGAGGCAGGGCTCAGGGGCTAAGAGCACTTGCTACTCTTTCAGGGGAACCAAGTTTAGTTTCCAGTGTCTACATGGTAGCTCACAAACACCTGTAACTCCAGTTCTAGGGGATCTGATATCCTCTCTGGCCTTAGTGCTCACCAGACATGAATGTGGTACAGATACATAGGCAAACACTTATGCACATAAAATCAAAAGAAATATATCTTTTGAAAAAGTTTTTTTTCTTTTTAGTTTCTAATTTTTTATATTTATTTATTAAATATTTCTGTCTCTTCCCCACCTCCGCCTCCCCTTTCCCTCCTCCCCCAATCAAGTCCCCCTCCCTCGTCAGCCCAAAGAGCAATCAGGGCTCTCCATCCCGTGGGAAGTCCAAGGAAAACCCTCCTTCGTCCAGGTCTCGTAAGGTGAGCATCCAAACAGCCTAGGCTCCCACAAAGCCAATACATGCAATAGGATCAAAAACCCATTGCCATTGTTCTTGATGTCTCAGTAGTCCTCATTGTCCGCTATGTTCAGTGAGACCTGTTTTAACCCAGGCTTTTTCAGACCCATAGTTTCTAATTTTTAAAAAAATACCAATCCAAATTCTCCCTCTCCCCCTCCTCCCATTCCCTCCGCACACCCTCACACCCCACCCCCTCTAATCCTAAGAGAGGGTAAGGCACTTTGCTTTGTGGAAGGTCCAAGGCCCTCCCTACTACATCTAGGCTGAACAAGGTATACATCCAAAGAGAATAGGACCCCAAAAAGCCAGTACATGCAGTCAATGGCCCCTCAGTCTGCCCCAGCCATACAATGGTCAGCCACATTCAGAGGGACTAGTTTGGCCCTATGCTTGTTCCTCCCGGTCCAGTTGGAGTTGGTTGAGCTCCCATTAGCTCAGGCAAACTGTTTCAGTGAATGAACCCTTCATGGTCTTGACCTCTTTGCTCATATTCTCATTCCTTCTACTCTGAAAATTTCTTAAAAGCATGTATCAGAGAGATGGTTCAGCAAGGAAGCACACTTGTTGCTCTTGCAAGGGACTGGGATTGGTCTCCCAGTACCATATCAGATGGCCCACAACTGGCCCATGACTCCAGCTTCAGGGAACCCAGTGCTTTCTTCTGGATTCCAAAGATAACTGCACTCACGTGTACACACCCACCTCACGTATCCACGCAAATTAAAAAAGATCTTAAAATTAGTCACAAGAAAAGATGTTGCCTGCAAAGGGAGATGAATGGAATTCGGAAGTCTATTGATGGATGAGATGGTTGGGAAAATGTAGTTCTACTGACAGAAATAGAAGCCACAGCATAATGTGAGCTTAAGAATAAAATATGCTTTCTCTGATGATTGATTATATGCCTAGCAATGTACTTACCAGAATAATTTCCCTTGCCTTTAGAGATTCAGTGCCACCGGCATCAATGTCACCTGTATGTCTACTTCAAGCCCCCCAAAGAGATTATAGCTGATAAAACAAAACAAAACAAAGACAAATGAAAACTACTAAAATACTAATAAGATCTTCTTGAAAATGGGTGGGGTTAAAGTGTGACATTCAAAATCCCTTTAACCCGTACTTCAGAATCAGAGTGCTTTATAGCAAGACCTCCATCACCAGACGAACTGTATTCTCTGTCTTTCCTATGGCTTGCTGACATTCAGACATTCTTGTAACAAGTATCTAAGCAACCATTCCTTAGTTACATGGTCCTAAGGGACAGAGATGCTGGTGAAGTAATCATCAGGTGTTTTATAAGCTTGATAAAGAACGGATCAGTTGCTGGCTAGGATGTGAGAGAATACATACATGGATGACATGAGGGAGTTTGTCTTTAGGGTGAAGGAAGTATTCTGTATTTTCGATGTGATACAAATACGCATGCGTTCAAATTCATCAATGTATATACCAGAGCAAGTTTATGGTGTGATCAGACCAAACCCTCCCCACCTCGATGACAGCTCCAACTAGCTGTATAATGAGGACTGCAGGCGCCACCCCCACCCACTTTCTCCATTTCTTTTAGGCATCTCTTTATACACAATAATCAATTCCCTTCAATAGTCTCTCCTGCTTTTTATATCAGCTGACACTAAGTAATTCTATAATTTAGTTTACACGTGGTAGGAATATTAAGATGGGGTTGAGAATGAATAAAGAGGAACGAACATCAGCCATAGATGAATTCAAGTAACCAACAGACTTGGATCTTCCTTTAGGAGAGATTAGTGTACTCCTGTTCACAGGAGGAAGGTTCATGTGATGATGGGCAGGGGCAGCAGCTGCTGCTATTACTGATTATTACTGATTATTTAGTGTGCTGCACTGTGAAGATAATAGATAATGCCACCGATCAGCACCGGCAGCAGATAGGGGCACCTCTCATTATCTCTGCCTGCTGCTTTTCACGCTTTTATGCAATCCTCTCGCTTTGAACATAAACAGAACTGGTTACTTGGTTTTAATCAAAAGCACATGGCAAAGGCAGGGTACAGGTATCGGGGTTAGGTCACATATAAGATACTCTCCCAGGCAGACTCACCCGCGAGGCTATCTTTTCTAGCACAATGAAGCAGCCGTGTTGGAAAAGCCCGTGTGGCAAGACCTACAGATGCTAGGGATTGTGGGAGGCCTTTAGAAGCAGAGGGTGGCCACCTACAAGAGGTTGTGTTTTCAAACCTAGATAGAAAGTAGATTCTCCCCCAGTCGAACCTTTACCCGAGGACTAGTCTTGATTCTACCTTGGTCACAGCCTTGTAGTCCTATCCAGAGGATCTAGCTAGGCTGAGCTCCCGGAAACCCCATCCTGTCATACTAAAACGGTGAGAAAAGAAGTGTTCATTGTACTAATTATTATGCAGCAACAGAAGGAAAAACTCACACAATTCTTAACATCTATATAGTCTATTGGAGTGTTTCCTGTACTCCAGAAGCTAAACGTCCATTTCCCACATTCCTTTACAATTATGATTCTAGACATCTGAGACTTAGCTCGCAGAAGCAATTGGACTCTGTGCTTCTGACATCTCTGTTGCTGAAGATGACTGTGAAGATGTTTGGCTGCCCTACAGCCATTTGGTCATGAGTACCTGGGTGCTGAGGGGGCGAGGAGCTTGGCATCCATTTGCAGATGGATCATTCTGGAGGGAGCAGGAGCAGTGATGTATTTTCATTCTGAAAGTTTCTTAATTATAAAAGAGTTAGCAGCTGTCCTGGTAGCCTGGGAGTGGTGTGCTCTTGGATCTTGCTTTCGAAAGTTCAAGTAAGTTGGTCCTTCTAATAAAGATACATGCCATTTAATATCTAGTAATAGACAGTTTTGTGCCTAATCTAGTTGAGAATAAATTCTGGTTTTCTGGCAACAAGATTCTAAACTGCAGTAGAAAGGACACCCTCAAATGGTATTTTAACCATGTGTATGTAAAATGGATAATACACGACATTCACTTTTTAAATAAACATTTTTATATTTAATATAATAGATTTTAATACTTAGTTTTATAAAGACAAAGTCACTTTATAACATTTAATGTAAAAGTCATAATGCACGGGTCCAGTTTGACACAACAAAATATTCTGAATATTAGGAACAGCTCATTTGCTTAACAAGGCGGCAGCTATAAAACTATAATATGTTCAGCTTATCTCCCCTGCAGAACCAGAAAATACATTATTGGCTTGTTAACCTTCATTTATAATCTTCTTGAAACTCTAAAAATCTCTTTAAGTATTTATTTTCAATTAGTCTAGCCTAAAATACAATATTCAGTAATCTTCACTATTCTGACTTTAAAATAATATCAAAAATTAACAGCATATTTTTAAGAAAGGATTTGTTGTAAATACAACTGACGAAATATTCAAAACAGTGTGTGTAACAGTGCTTTTGTATATAAGCACAGACCATATGTTTTTCTAGAGCTATTGTCGTATAATTTAACAATCAATACATAAGAGCAGATGTGACAGTTCGCATATAAACTAAGATTGAAAACCAGGACATATTTTAGCACATCAATTCTGAGTCAAAGCAGAAAGGCTTAGTTCTAAATTATCTCTTTTAAGTGGCAATTTCCTTGAAAAGACAGTATAATCAAATCTTAAAGATGCTACCAGTATTTGGTAAATTCCAACTTACAGATTCTCAAAGACTCAACTTGAAAAGTGTTTTTGCTTCATTGAAAAGAATATATGCTACATGGCATAGCCCTCTGTTTTATTCACAGTCTATTCTTGCTAAAACCTGACCACACCAATTCCTTCCCAGAAAGGGAGACTTCTTTGGTCACCATGAAGGAGGTCTGCTCTCTCTCTTTCTTTCTCTCTCTCTCTCTCTCTCTCTCTCTCTCTCTCTCTCTCTCTCTCTCTCTCGTTTCTAGTCAAGTAAGAGGGTTTGAAATCAAAGCCTAGCATGAAAGCAGAAACTCCTCAGGCTGATTCCTGCCCCATTTCCTAAGTCAACTGCTTAATAAATTACTCTTGTCAGAGATGGCAGAAGACAGGACAGGTCCATGTGGTTTGATTGTTAGTTTTTATAAAGTGCTATCAAAGTCCATTTATATTTAAATGGACTGTCATGTCATGTCTGACCTAGAAGAAGCCTAAAATATGTGAAAAATTGCTCATCTAAGTCAGAGAGTCGAACCTTTTTAGGTAGATGCTGGCAATTCTACATAGTGCCTTAGTAAGTATATGTGAACTATACTTCATGTGCTTGTGAAACTAACGAAGCAATTCAGTATTAGTGTAACTGTTCCACACTACCTCCTATAAATTAAAACACAGCTGATGAAAATTCAAAATATAAAGCTGGGACACAAGCAATCACAAGCCATTCTGAGAAGATGCCACACACGACAGTCCACTAAAGAAGTTTTAGTTATGTCTCAGTGTAAATGAAAGAGCTATATAGTCAACTGAACTGTTTCTTAACCTTTCTCCAAACACTGGCTTTATTCTATGTAAACCTAAATCCAGTGATGTTTTTCCTTATATTAGTCCAGAATTTAGACTTCTTCATTTGTGTTTAGCAGTAGCAAATTGTGAAGCCTCAAGAACAGAAAGTGCAGAAGTTGCTTTTTAAGATCATTATTTCTGTGTTGAACAAAATTAAGTCTTAAAAGTTAATAAAGTTCCTGTAACATAACATAGAAAGCAAAGCCCTAAATGGGTAATTTCCTGGATAATTAAGGCTACAGTTCTAAAGCCCAGTTTTGACAGGCTTGGGGCAATTTGAAAAGCAAAGTTCACCAATATGCCATAACAGCATCACTAATAAACACTTTGCCTTTTGAAAAGCCGCTAATCCCATGGAAACAGCAGCACAAACTTGAAACTGACTCCCTAAAGTGATATGGTGGTGCCCTCTGGTGGTTCCACTGAGCATGTGACCCTGATCCTGGATATCTTGGGACACATAGAATGACAGAATTTTTTTTAACTGCAATTAATACAAAGGAATGAATCATTGTGCTTCTGAGTACCTTTCTTTTTGCCTTCAAGCACATAGGCAATGCCATACATCCCTGAGTAGTCTCAGGAATCAAGCTGATCGTACAGGAATCTTGGTAAAGCTAACAGCGGCAGAGATTTACACCTTGGTTCTAGACTTTAACTGGGAGCATTTCGCACGCTCCAGCTTTGCCTTTAAGTCTAAGGGTCTCTCAAAAAACCTCACCAAAGCTGGTTCATTTAACAGGGAAGCAAGAATCTGTTCAAATGCAAAAGACCACTGATGCTCTTCCCTGGGAGAGGAAGGAGTTTTCTCCACACTGCTCTCTGCATTCCCCTCACGGGCTCCAGAATCACAGGCTGTCCCGGAGAATCTTCTAGCTGCTGATTTAGGGCTATGGAGTTTCCTTCCAACTTCTTCCATCCTGAGCAAAAGGTTGGTAACAATAGCAATGGCCTGATAGAGTGACTCTTCTTCCGGGTCTTCATGAAATAAATTATACAGGGTCTTTGAAAACTGAATAAATTGTGACTAGAAGACACAAGTTAGAAATATAACATTTTAACATTAGACTTAGCAAATAAAAATGAAACTTAGAAGGGGAACTCAGAAGTGGAGAGAATCCTGTATAAAATTTGTAATATACAACCTTCACCACAGAACTGAGGACTAATTCCATGATACATCTTTGCTCTAGGAAGGGAAGTATGAACCATGAAAGAATATTTCATTTAAGCCCTCTCACATAATTGTCAAATTGAAGAATATTATAAATGAAGAATATTATAAATTAAGAAGTTGTCTTTATTTACTGTTGGGTGACAATTTTGATTATGTAAACTTTCATATTTTCTTTCATGTAATTCTCATCAATCAATTTTAAGAAAAGGATTAAGGACTTCTAATTTGCTATCAAAGGGCTGCAATGGAAAATAACTTAGATGACTTAATATTAGGGAAGAATGACTTTTGGGACCTACCTAGTAGTGTAGGAACTCTTAAGAAATCCCTTTGGATGTGCGTGTTTTTAAAGGCAGATACGGGACCAAAGTTAAGAGACTCCAGTTAGTTTACTAACTGCTCTCAGGAAATTCTAAATATTCCTGGAAAATACTTGTCAATTTAAAAGCTATTCAAATCCAAGAATTCTACAACTCAGTTGTTCAACCTTACATGTTTGTATGTACATAAAACAAGTACAAATAATATGCCTCATAAAATATATTATAAAAATGCTTTCCGCCTTCCTTTTTATTGTCCTTTTCATTTATAGTGATTTTAGAATAAGTATCCCAAATTGGCTTATTTTAGGAAGCCTTTATTTAACCATCAAACCGGGAAGTTCATTAAGACACTCTAAGCTATTGGATAGTTTTGTTTTGGTAAAGTTCTGGGGAACTTCGGTATCTCAATCAACCAGCCTTTCTTTTAAGACTATAAGAACACGTGGGCAATGTATAAGAAAGAGATCAATTTAAATAATGTCTACACTAGTCCTTAATATTGCCTATGCAGCATCAAATATAAGGTCATTGGGGATTATGTAAGAGCTATCTTAGTAATTTCTTAGTACGTAGCAATAGATTTGACATCAGGTAGGCACTAGCTGAATGTTACTTAATACACGTTTATTTTTAATGTTGAAATATGTCATATATAAAAATTTTCTTTAGAAACACTAAATACATTTAAGCAATTAATGTACAATTTAAAAAAATCTGTTGACCTCTTTCATGATTACTTGAATTTCTTAAAGCTGACAACCTGCAGATTATTTAACTATTTTTTCAATAGTATGTAAGTTTTTTTTCTTTTCCTTTTCTTTTGTGGTATTGGTGACTGAACCATGGGGCTACATGCACTCACATTAACTAAAAAAAATTACTTGGAAAATTCTATACCTGATTCATTCTTGGTAAATCTTTAATGTTTTCTTCTTTTTTAAGAAGCTCATCTTGCCATTGACTTAAATAGGCTTGAATATCAATTTTTCCTTTGCCTAAATAAAAGAAATAAACAATTTTATAATGAACAACTAATATTTCCCCAAATCTCAAAAAGAATCAGTGAAAGTGAAAGAAATATCTCTGAGGTAAAAGAGCCCATCTCTTTCATTCCAGGACACAATCTGAATTTAGCTTTGATCTCACTCATTGGCTTTCAGAAAACATTATCCACTTCTATTTAGACAAAAACTTACTTTTGGAAATTTGATGAATATCAAAAATAAAGAAAAAGAGAGAAAATGATGTATTTAGATTAAAACAGCACACTTTGGTCCAACAATAAATGCCATGTAGTCATACTCATATAGCCTACCACACTTAATCTTTTCTGTATCAAGTTCTTTATATGGTGGTTCCTTTTTTAAAAAATGGAAACACTATTTATTGCTTCATTTTTTTCAGCCAAGATGATATTTGCATGACGTTGAAATTCTTATTTAAATTTTTTGTGAAAACTGGGCAAAATAATGGAGGAGTTATGTTCAACTAGATCTTTCATTTAATTTTTTTGTGAAAACTGGGCAAAATAATGGAGGAGTTATGTTCAACTAGATCTTCTGTTGTGAAATATTAGTTGAAGATGTGTTATATTTGTTTACACCGTGGAACATTTGTTTAATGATGCAAAGATGTGTTTCATTTTTGTCTGCATTTCTTTAACTCTGTGAAGCTGTGTTACCCTGCCTGTCTAAAACACCTGGTTGGTTAATAAAGAGCTGAACGGCCAATAGCTAGGCAGAAGAAAAGATAGGTGGGGCGGACAGGCAGAGAAATAAATAGGAGGAGAAATCCGGGAGGAGAAGTCAGGGGAGCGAGAAAAGGAGAAGGCAAGGAGGATATCAGGGGCTAGCCACCGAGCAACACACAAGCCACGAAGAAGTAAAGGTATATAGAATAGAGAAAGCTAAAGGCCCAGAGTCAAAAGGTAGTTGAGATAATTTAAGCTAAGAAAAGCTGGCTAGAAACAAGCCAAGCTAAGGCTGGGCATTCATAAGAAAGAATAAACCTCTATGAATTTATTTGGGAGCTGGGTGACAGGACCCCCAAAGAGCCAAAAGAGTAAAAGAGAATAACCATCTCCACTCTTCAGCAATTAATTTTAATTAAATGTTTTAAAATGTAGAATGGTGAACTTTAAATGAATAATTTCATAGTCTATCAAAATGTCATGTGTGCATACTATTTTACTCAATATTTTTATACTTTTCTGCATTTTCTTAAATTATCCTGAAATTTCCTTTTAATTTTTGTAGCATCGCAGCCTGCAATGAAAAAAATTGGAAACATCTTAAATGTCCACCAGTATTGAGCTAGTAACTGAAACAAATTATGTTGCAATCAAATCATGAAATGTTATGTTCCCATTAAAAGTCAAAAGGAAGATCAAAATGAGTGGACATGGAAAATTATCCATGATATATTACAAAATAAAAAAATAGTACCCAGTAGGGATGGTTCTACATATGAAAGTCTGTCAATGTAATCCACCATATAAACAAACTGAAAGAAAAAAAAAACACATGATCATCTCATTAGAGGCTGAAAAAGCCTTTGACAAAATTCACCACCCCTTCATGATTAACGTCTCGGAGAGAACAGGGATACAAGGAACTACCTAAACATAATAAAGGCAATATACAGCAAGCCAACAGCCAACATCAAACTAAATGGAGATTAACTCAAAGTGATCTTACTGAAATAAGGAACAAGACAAGGCTGTCCACTCTCTCCATATCTATTCAATATAGTACTTGAAGTTCTAGCTAGAGCAATAAGACAACAAAAGGAGATTAAGGGGATACAAATCAGTAAAGAAGAAGTCAAACTTTCACTATTGGCTGATGATATGATAGTTTATATAAGTGACCCCAAAAATTCTACCACGAAACTTCTACAACTCATAAACACTTTCAGTAATGTAGCAGGATACATGATTAACTAAAAAAAAAAAAATCAGTAGCCCTCCTGCGCACAGATGATAAAGAAATCAGAGAAACATCACCCTTCAAAATAGTCACAAATAACATAAAATATCTTGGAGTAACTCTAATTAAACAAGTGAAAGATCTGTAAGACAAGGACTTTACATCTTTGAAGTAAATTGAAGACACCAGAAAATGGGAAGATCTTCCATGTTATTGGGTAGGTAGAATTCACATAGTAAAAATGGCAATCTACAGATTCAATGCAATGCCCATCAAAATCCCAGCAAAATTCTTCACAGAACTCAAAAGAATAATACTCAACTTCAAATGGAAAAGCAAAAACCCAGGCCAAAACAATTCTGTACAATACAGGAACTTCTGGAGGCACCACCATCCCTGACTTCAAACTCTACTATAGAGCTATAGTAATGAAAGCAGCCTGGTATTGGCATAAAAAACAGAGAGGAGGACCAATGGAATTGAATAGAAGACCCGAATATCAATCCACACACCTACAAACACCTGATTTTTGACGAAGAAGCTAAGAACATAAAATGGAAAAAAGAAAGCATATTTAACAAGTGGTGCTGGATATCAACATGTAGAAGAATAAAACTAGACTCATATCTATTGCCATGCACAAAACTCAAGTCCAAATGGATCAAAGACCTCAGTATAAAACCAACCACACTGAACCTCATAGAAGAGAAAGTGGGAAGTACACTTGAACACATTGGTACAAGAGACCACTTCCTAAATAGAACCCCAGCAGCACAGACACTGAGAGCAATAATTAATAAATGGGACCTCTTGAAACTGAAAAGCTTCTGTAAAGCAAAGGTCACGGTCAGCAAGATAAAACACAGCCTACAGAATGGGAAAAGATCTTCATCAACCCCACATTGGACAAAGGACTGATCTTCAAAATATACAAAATACTCAAAAGACTTGACATTAAAAGAGCTAGTAATCCAATAAAAATACAGACCTAAACAACAGATGAATCTCATAGGGCTGAAAGACACTTAAGGAAAGCTCAACATCCTTAGCTATCAGAGAAATGCAAATCAAAACAACTCTGAGATTCCATCTTATACCTGTAAGAATGGCCAAGATCAAAAACACTGATGACAGCTTATGGTAGAGAGGATGTGGAGTAAGGGGAACACTCCTCCATTGCTGGTGGGAGTGCAAACTGGTACAACCCCTTTGGAAATCAGTGTGGTGATTTCTCTGAAAATTAGGAAACAACCTACCTCAAGACCCAGCAATACCACTTTTGGGTATATACCCAAAGGATTCTCAATCATACCATAAGGACATGTGTTCAACTATGTTCACAGAAGCATTATTTGTAATAGCCAGAACCTGGAAACAACCTAGATGCCCCTCAAACGAAGAATGGATAAGGAAAATGTGGTACATTTACACAATGGAGTACTATACAGTGGTAAAAAATAATGACATCTTGAAATTTGTAGGCCAAAAGATATTGAGTGAGGTAACCCAGACCCAGAAAAATAAATAAAATATGTATTAACTCATAAGTGGCTTTTAAACATAAAGCAAAGAAAACCAGCCTACAATTTACAACCCCAGAGAACCAAGACAACAAAGAGGACCCTAAGAGAGACATACAGGGATCTAATCCACATGGGAAATAGAAAAAGACAAGATCTCCTGAGTAAACTGGGAGTGGTGGGGATCATGGGAGAGGGGAGGATGGGAGAGGGGAGGAATGGAGGGGAGTGGAAAAAATATATAGCTCAATAAAAACAATTAAAAAGAAAAAGAAAAGATGGCTAGAAATAAGCCAAGGCCAGGCAGTCATAAGAAAAAAAAAAGCACCCAGTGGAAGAGTGTTTATAGATATTTTAAAGAGAGATGACTCCATATGTCCATGTAAACAAAGAAACAAATCTGAAAAGGATATAGCATAAAATGTTTACAGCTTCTCCTTCTGGCTCGTTTTGTCTAGGGGTAAGAAAGACTACATGTTGCCCGAATTTCTGCCACAAAGATTACCTATTATTTTTGCAATTCAAATGAAATCTTTAAAATAATAAAAATGAATATGGATCACTTACTATTAAATTTTTATAACCTCTGAGATGTAAGTAACAGAAGAGAAATAATAAATTTCTTTTATGTAACTAGAAAACCATATCAGGACAAATCTACAGCCTTTAAAGAACCCCAACCCCTCCCCCTTTATAGCTATTACTATTTATAGAATTAATAATTTAATAAATTGAATGATATTTCTAGATTGTTTCATAGTACCTTTTTCAGGCGTATTTTTTCCTGATTCTGCTTCCTTCTCATCTGCATGCTTGGAAACTAAAGGGAAAAGAGGGCAACTATATATTATAAAATGTTTAAGTATCTTTTAAAAGTAAAATAATAAAAGAATAGTTTGTATAAAGACTTATAAGCACTTACTATGCTTTTAACCCACCAAAGCAATTTTATGTGACCTGATCTCCTGATCTTAGAATGCAAAGTATCAAAAATATTCATAGTAAAAGAAAAGAACACTGTATATTAATATTTAAAAAATCCTAGAGGGTAATACATCAAACTTAAGTATTTGCTTCTGAGTGATAGCTTCTCTATTTGACTGCCTTCAAATTAAGAAGCATTATGTTTATTACCAGGAGGAAAGCCCTATGCATAATGGAGGTCTGAAGAAGAAGCCACACTCCCCGGGTAAGACAAGAACTCATTGTGAAACCCTGCACAATTCACTGCTTTCTGTACTCAATGTTCTTCTATATAAAGTGGGCAGACTTAAATAGATGGGTTTTGAGGTTTTGTTAATGCTCACTTTACATACAGTAACCAAATAGACACACACATTTTCTCTGTAAGACCATGTACCTATGAAAATGAAGCAAATGAGGAAAGCACACACACACAAGTGTGTATCACTTCCGATTTATGTGAGAAAGCAGATTCTTCTATTGTATACTTGATTTATAAGAAGTATTCACTATTTAAATAAAAGTTATGGATTGTAAATCATCAATGATTCTATCAGCTTCACCATCCTTTATCAAAGCATAGAAATGGTCTGATACAAAATTTCTTTAATACAATTAAAAGCAAAAATCTTTTATATATACTTCCTTTTAAATAATAAGAAATTTCAAAAAATAAAAATTATTAAGCACAGTCTAATCAGTCAAATATTTACAGACTATGTTAACTGCTATCATAGTATCACAATGTAAAAGGTACAGTGACTCCAATTCAAGAAGATCTCAACAAGTAGCCAGGCATCAAGATGCCCATGGTCCTGTCTACCTATCTACCTGGGAGACTGAGGCAGGATGATTACTGGAGCCCAAGAGTTTGAGACCAGTCTGAGACCCAATTTAAAACAACACAAATTCAGTTAAAAGTTTAAAGGAATATTTATTTACCCTGGAGCTGACTGAAATAAAGCAATTCTTCTGTGGAAAGCTCATCGCCCTTGGAAGAAGTCTTAGACATCACTTCAGTATAAGCTGAAAGCATATAAGCCAAATCACATTTACTAGCAGTGAAGGCAGAGAAGTGGTTCTTAAATGCAGACAAATTGAAGAGTAGAAACTAGATGAAGTGTATAAGAAATGTGTACATACAGAAAAGTGGAAATACTATTGCTCTGCTATTGTGTACCAAATAAAACATTTCATCACTTTGAATTCTAAGATTTTTCTTACTTGCATTTCTTCTTTTTTATTGCTTAAGAACTTCATATACGCATATGATCAAATCCATCGCCCCATTTCTTTCTTCCCTCTTCCGCTACCATTAATCCCTTCTAATTCCGTGGACTCTTTTATAAACGCACCGAGTCCTTTTGGTTCCAAGGTCATCTACGGGAGCACGGGTAACCTCCTTGCTTTTTACCAGTTTTTAGAGTCATAGAAAGACGAATCTGGTAGTTAGATTTGCTCTGAACATGAAATCTAAAACTCCTGCACTAATAAGGAAACCTGAAGCTCAGAGCTTTACTGTTCCCCACTGTTATTCAACGGAGACACAGTGTTTCCTAGATTATATTTTATCCTACTTAATATTCTTACTTCCAACCTCTCCATCAATAATGTATGACATGGAAAATTTAACATTTAAATGGTAACATAATTTAATAAAATTTATTCTTATAATTAAATTATTATGTGGTTTGACTTTTGTTTTTAATGCTGTGTTAGTGATTTGGGCGTCTGAAGGATTAAACATGGCTTTAGTTTGTTGGTCTGCTAAATGATTCCTTGCTAACCTGAAAAGCCTTTAAAAAGCTTTTAAAGGAAGTCAGGGAGAACATTAGACAAATTATGAAGTGCTATTTGATTTTAATGAATTACTAAATGCAAGCCACTTTTCGCAATATATTTTTTAACAGTAGGGATGTGTTGGGAAATAATCCTAAGGACAGTGGAAAAAATTTATGAAAACTGAAAGAGCATGGTGACTCTGGAGAAGTAGAGCAAAACAAAAAAAAAAAACTTTTGGGTTAGATGGGCCTCATATCAAGTATGTTTGGGACATAATTGAATCTCCCCAACCCTCAGTCTCCTTTTGTAAAAATTGAAAGGATAATATAATCTTTCAAAGATTATGATGCTAAAATAAGAGAGTGCATATAAAATACATTTTATGTGTGTGTATGATGCGTTCAACCATGAGCCTGTGTGAGGACCTAAGGGTGACATTGGATATAAAATAAAGGTTCTGCCCGTGCTAATTTAGACCCATCTGCAAGTTTAGTAATCTGCCTAAAGTGAATCTCTATTTTAATGACAATGACAGCACAAATTCAGCAGTATCCCAATATTCCAACGATACATAAGTTCTTGTACAAGCTATCATTTAAGAGCTAGCTAGCAGGACATGGTAGCACATGCCTGTTATCCTTGCACTTCTGAGACTGAGCTCAGTCTGGGATATATATTGAGACTATATCTCAAACTGCATACATAGAGAGAGAGAGAGAGAGAGAGAGAGAGAGAGAGAGAGAGACAGAGAGAGAGACAGAGAGAGAGACAGAGAGAGAGACAGAGAGAGAGACAGAGACAGAGATGATTGCCTACTAATAGGAAATTAAAGATCCAACTGATATATGGAATCTCTTCTACAGATTTCATCCTGTCTATATCTATACCTACACCACCAAAAATACTTGTGATATTACTTGAGGACAACAATAAAGCAATAACTTTAAATTATATGAAAAACTGTTTTGTTTGTTAAAGTGAAATTATATGTACAATGATGCCTGTTACAATGGAATGAACTCTTACTATATACCATTTACTATATACCATTAAAGACTGGTAAAGTCTTACCTGGAGGAATATGCATCTTAAAAAGCAGCTTAAGCTTCTCAGTAAAACTTCCATTGTACATTATATCTGTTCAATAAAATTCAGTTAGAAAACTCAGGTAACTAAACATTAACTAAACATTCAACCAATTCCACCCAAAGTGATTAAGATACAGACAGTAGACAGGAATTAGGATCTAAAACACAGTCAGCCAGTCAGTCTGTCCCCCCCCATGCCCCCAGCCCTGTCTCTCTCTCTCTCATTAGTTTTTCAAAATAAGGTTTCTCTGTGTAACAGCCCTGGTCATTCTGGAACTCTCTCTGTAGACCAGGCTGGCCTTGAACTGCCCCTGCCTTCCTAGTGCTGGGATTAAAGGCATGCACCACCACCACCAGGCAACATGGTGTTTCTTAAGCTAACAATTAACTACTCAGTCAGTAAGATTTTCACTTTCAAGCACATAACCGAAACACTCCACCAGGGGAATAGCATGCTCTATTCACAAGCGCCTTTCTCCCAACCTCATATTTCCCTTTTCTTTTGGAATGGGGCTTTATGATTCATTTGAGGAGAGAACTGCTCTGCAAGATAATGAGTGAAAAGAAATCATTGCTGGGGGGGGGTATGAAAAACAAAGGAACAAAACCTATGACTTATCGACTGTAGGCACAACTCATTTGTTTAGTATTTCTGTATCACTTATCTAGGCTATGTGGTTAGATTTTTACCCAGGGGGAAATTCCTATCTATCTGGTGAGGAAAAATCCTAGACATTCTCTTCCTTCCTGTTAAACCATTAAAACACCCACATCTAACGGCTTGTTTCTTTGAGAGGGTTGGGCAAAAAAGAAATCAATATATGGGCCTGGAGAGATAGCTCAGTGGTTAAGAACACTAGATGTTCTCCCAGAGGTCCTGAGTTCAATTCCCAGCATCCATGTGCCAGCTCACAACCATCTATAACTCTAGTTCCAGGTGATTCAACACCCTCATACAGACATAAATGTAGGCAAAATATCGATGCACATAAAGTAAAAATAAATTATTAAAAGAGATCAAGATGCATAGGTTTAGCAGCAAGCATATTTTAAAAAAGGCTCATAATTACTAAACCTGAAGACAATGTAACCCAAAATTGGCCTAAACTAGCAGTAATAGGCAGCAAGATAAAATATTTTGGGGTGGTAGAAAATATTTTGGGGGCATAGAGAACATGGTTATGTTTTGCTTTAGAAAGTTGAAGGGCATCAGCCTACCAATTGCAGAGGAGAATTCTTTGAAGTTTATAAGGCAATCAGAATTTTCATCCAACAATCTGAATGTCCATAAAGCTAGCGAGTCTCTGTTTGCAGAATGAGCCCAGGGACTCAACAAGTGATACAGCACTCTGAACTGCTGGCAGTCAATCTGATACTGTTCCAAATATGACAGGCTGGGGTCATGATGCTTCAATCCTGGACAACTCGAATACCAATAACAAGATATAAACAGCTCTTTCTACAAAAAAAAAATGGAAAAGGAGAGTCATTAAATCAGAAAAAAAAGTCAAAGAATTTTTCTAAATATGTCTCTTAAAACATAAAAATGTTTAAGAGCAATGGAGATAAAATTCTGCTAAAAGAATAATTTTCGTTAAAAAGGAACAACATACCTTAAAAATGACATAAAGTTCATCCAATTCCTGAAGATTCATCTTCACATCTTGTGATACAACACGCAACTTTAAAAAGATCAAAAGCAACTTAGACTCAGCATTTCCTTTTAAAAAGTCTTTGAATTTACTTGGTGTTTTCCTCTACAAGGAGAAAATATTTTCTTTTCTTTTTTTAAACCTACACATCATTTTTTTATTGCAGCTCTAGTAACAATTGCCAAGTTATTTCTTGATTTTTAGTTAGTTGCTGAACTAACCTTGTGTTTCTGATATAACTACTACTTAACTTTAGTGTACTAATATTAATATAGTACTCTATTACTACTTTGTCAATTAATTGAAAAAGTAAAATAGATCTTGGTGTGATAAAAAGATATCACGAATAAACATCAATGAGAAGAAAAGTATAAATATGGGCTGACAAAATGGTTCAGTGGATAAAGGTACTTGCTATCAAGACTGATGACCCGAGTTCAACCCCACGGACCCATGTAGATGGAGAGAACAAATGTCTAATTTGTACATGGATGCTATGGCACATGAGTGCACCCCTCCAATAAATAAATGTAATACAAACTTAAGAAGGATAACATGGAAAGATAGATATGAAAGTCATCAAGGTGTTCATCATACAGAATGCAGCATATAAAATCAACTAAATGAATTCTGAAGTGTTATGCAAATATATCTGAAGATCAAGATTAAAATAGATAATTTCCTTGGGAAATATGTCACCAAAATTAACTCAATGTGCAAACAATTTGAATAAACAGAACAGAAATGGCAACAAAAGAGCTCCCATCACCAAAAGTTAGCAGACCCAAAGGTTTAGAGGCTTGTTTTCTCAAACTTTCTAATAACAGTGATATCCTATGTACATTAAAGTATTTCCGAGAATAGAAAATATGAGTTTACTACAAAATCTATTATGCAACATAAGCTAAATTGATATAAAATTAGTATTCACAAAAAAGAAATCCTTAATGGTCATGGTGGTGCACACCTTTGATCCCAATACTTGGGAGACAAGAACAGTTTCAGGGAAGTCCGGCCTACATAGCCAGCTTCAGGGCCAACTATGGCTCCATACTGAGACCATGTCTCTAAAAAAGCAAAATAAATTCTGAAATCAATGTTATTTTAACACAGATGCAGAGAACCATGCTAAACTGTTTAGTCAAATTATCAAAATAGAACATTAATGATATTATAGCCAGATTCATTTTACAATGCCCTGTCTTATACATGATTTTAGTAGAATTGCTCTGAGTTTATCTCTGTTTAATTTGATGTTGGCTGTCAGCCTGCTATATATTGTTTTTATTATGTTTAGATATGCTCCTTGTATCCATGAGCTCACCAAGACTTTTTTAATGAAAGAGTGTTGGATTTTGTCAAAGGCTTTTAAAGCATCTAATGAGATGACCATGTGGTATTTTTTCTTTTAGTTTGTTTATATTATCGGTTACATTGACAGATTTTCATATGTTGAACCATCCCTGCATCTCTGGGATGAAGCCTACTTGGTCATGGTGGATGGTATTTTGGATGTATTCATGGATTCAGTTTATCAGTATTTTATTGAGTATTTTTGCATCTATGTTCACGAGTGCAATTGATCTGTAATTCTCTTTCTTTGTTGGGTTTTTGTGTAGTTTGGGTATCAGGGTGTCTGTGGCCTCATAGAAAGAATTTGGCAATGTTTCTTCTGTTTCTGGAATTCCAATAATTCTTTAATAAAATTTACTATATTAATAAATAAAAAGCCACACAATCTGAAGATATGAAAGTCATTGTATCAAAGTTAACTTTTGATAATTTTAAAAATTAACTCACTATTAATTTTTAAAAAGAATTGTTCTCATTTCAGTTAGAACTCTGTGTGTGCACTCTACTACTGAGCTATATCTTCATCCTTTCAACCTAGAAACTTAATAAAATTTCTTTAGTTTAATAAAGGACATCCTTCTGAAATCAATAGTAATAAAATATGGGAGGCATCTCTATTAAATTTAGAAGTATGACTAAAAGGCTTACTTCTATTGCTATTATTCAATATTACTTCAAGGTTTCAAGATCATGAAGTAATAAACACACAAAAGAAAAGAAGATTACTTATTAGGAAGGGCCAAAATTCTTAGCACTGAAAATTAAGCACTCTTTAGGACACCAAAAGTGCTAGTATAAGGTGGAACAATCAGTCAACCAGTGTTGTGGCCACAACAAAATGCAAGAAACCCAAATCAAGAGATTTGCACTTATACCAATAAATAACTGAAAAAAATGTAAAGAAAAACATCTCAGTCATTTTTGCCACAAAATGCATTATGAAAAAAATCAATAAGAAATATTTAAGACCTATGTGCTGGTTAGCTTTTTGTCAGCCTGACACAATCTAAAGTCATCTGCTAGGAGGGAACCCCAATTGAGAACATTTCTTCATAAGATCAGGCTGCAGGGAGGCAAGCCTCTAAGGCATTTTCTTATTTAGTGATTGCTGGGGGAGGGCCCAGCCTATTGTAGGTGGGAATACCCTGGAGCTGGTGGTCCTGGGTTCTGGAAGGAAGCAGGCTGAGCAAACTATGATGACCAAGTCAGTGCCCTGACTTCCACTGATAATGGACTGTAACATGAAATGTAAGAAATAAACCCTTTCCTCCTCAAGTACCTTTTGGTCATGGTGTTCCATCACAACAATAGAAATCCTAACTAGGACAATGTACAGGATCAAAATCATAAATGCTTGCTAAAGGACATCTGAAAAGTCAGATAACTACAATGGATATTAAAAAGAAAAATTTAAAGTCTCACCAGATTTCAAAATGTACTACAAAGGTACACTCATTTAAATAGACATAGTTGTAATAACAAAAAGTAAAATAAAGAACTGCTGCCACATATGGACATGAAAATTCAGGGTATGAAAAGTACAATACAATAAGAACAGACCATGCAATAGTTTTCAATGAAAGTTTTTAGTTGGAAAATATTTACATCATATATAACAAAATCTTCCAGGTATATTAACCTGTATGCTAAATGTTAAAATGAAAACTATCATCAGTACTGTGAGCTTATAGCAACTAGGTACTTTTATAATTTGTATAACTTTAGCTAGAGAAAAGGCTTAAGTTTTAAATGAAAACCAGTCATTATGAAAGAAAAAGGAAAGACTTGACTATGTAAAATCTGTAATTTGAAGACTCTGACAGACATCATAAAACATAGACAATAACGAGGAAGAAATGATAGGTTACAAATATAATTGTCAAAGAAATGCTACTACCTGGGAGGGTAAACTCTACAGGAGCAGTACTGAGCCAGTGACCTGGGCCAGATCTTGCTTGAGGCAGCAAACTTCACAGACGCAGGACTGAGCCAGCAGCCTAGGCCAGAGCAGACCTGAGGTAACAAACTCCAGAGGAGCAGGACTGAGCCAGCAACTTAGGCTGGAGTGGGCCTGGGACGGTGAACTCCATGGGAACAGGAGCAGATCTATACCAGGAATATTTGTGGGTACAGGACTGGGCCAGCGACCTAGGCCGGAGCACGCCTGAAGAGGCGAGCTCCACAGGACCAGGACTGAGCTGGCAACCTTGGCCACAGTGGGACTGAGACAGCAAACTTCAATGTAGTAGAGCAAACCCCAGGAGTGCTGAGCAACCTCCAGGAACACGGAGTGACCAACAGGGTGACTGGAACCGTGGCACTGACTACACCACAGGAGCAACCCTCTGAGCCTTGGAGCTACTGGCATCTGGAAGACTCATCACCAGAGTCACAGACAGCCCCAATTACACCAATTAGAGGAAAAGATGAGGTAAGAACATACGCAACACCACAAAGAGCAACACGACACCAGTAAAATCTAGTGACTCTATAGCAGCAAGACTTGAACAACAAATATAGATGAAGCAGAAGAAAATGACCTAAAAAGTAACTTCAGGAAAATGATTGAGGCCCTTAAAGAGAATATGAGAAATTCCCTCAAAGAAATGGGAAAAAAGACAAACAAAAAACAGAAGACATCAACAAATCTCTTAAGGAAAGCCAAGATAAAGCAATCAAACATATGAAAGAAAATATTCAATATTCAACTACCCATATATCAGTGCACTCAAGAAAGCTGCTTCTTGCAGTAGGCAGTTATTAATATAGAAACCTACATGTGGTCAATGGGTAGAGACTTTGGAGTGTTAAGCCTAAGTGGGATGTCTATATCACACCCTACTTCACAAGGCTTGGAGATCGATGCAGAGGAGGAGAGAGAAGCATTGTAAGATCCAAAGGTCATGGAAAACTTCATGGAAACTGTTTTTCAGATGCAACATGGAAGGTGTACATAGGAACTCACAGTGATTATGATAGTATGCACAAGACCCATATGAGTCAAACCAGAGACAATCCTAGGAGGTAGGCACAAAGCCTTATTCCTAGCTGAGGAGCTAGCATTTGATGAGTACTGGAAGGGGCAATGACAGTTTTCTACTATGTTGACTGTACTCCAGGGCAAGCCCCATTCCAAGGATTACTCAGCCAGAAAAACTGGACTCAGTGGGTTTAAAAGGGACACAGCACATGAAGATGAGTAGATCGGGAGGTGGGAAGAATTTCAGAGGAGTTGGTGAAGGGGAATGAACATGATTAAAATACATTGTATGAAATTCTCAAAGAATTAATTATATCATGGTATACTACTTTGTGCACTAAAAGAGTGAGTTAGATCTAATTATACTGATATGCAATGATCATTATTTTTTGAGTGACTGGTATAATGTGCGATCTCATTTTCACAACCTATCTTCTCTTTCTCTACCAGCATGAATGTTTTATGATCCTACACAGTAAAAAGAAACGCAAGGATGCACTTGAAACATTTTACCATAGTTACTTGTGGGGGAAGAAAACTTCATTTTTGAGATATTTCTGTAATGCTTGAATTGTCTGTAATAAATGTATGTAACCAATATTTTAAGTTAATATTTTGAAGCAAAAACAAAGGTTTTGTCCGATGTCACAGTAACATTGCTGAATTATTTAATTGAAATCTAAACCTAGGATCTTCAGAAACGTTAATCTTCCTAGATTGCATCTTTGAGGACTCAGTTTTGTTTTGTTTTGTTTTTCGGAACAGGATTTCCCTGTGTAACAGCTCTGGCTGTCCTGGAACTCACTCTTATAGATCAGGCTGCCTTGGAACTCACAGAGATACACTTGCCTCTGCCTCCCAGTGCTGGAATTAAAGGTGTGTGTCACCACTGGCCAGCAGAGGACCCAGTTTTTAAGTGAGGAGGTTTATAAAACAATAAGTCATAATGATAAAAATTAAACAGTGTAGAAGAATACAAACAGCAAAGTAAAATTCTTCACCTTGGGATCAGTGATCTAGTCATCCCACTGACTAGAGGAAATCAATATTAGCAGCTACCTACGGAAACCGTAGCAATGCTTTAAGAGTAAATTCTGTTTTATACACTTTTAATTTTCTTTTAAGTATTACAGAGAAATAATATTTATTAGAAGCATTTGCTATTATGATAGTTAGCTATTTTCTAATTTTAATTTTTAATTATGTGTATATGGTTTGAGTGCATTTGAGTGTAATGCCCATGGAAGCCAGAAGAGGGTGCTGGATTCACTGTAGCTGGAGTTCTAGAAGGTTGTGAGCTGCTGGGTACGTGGGCTAGGAAGCTTGGGTCCTGGTGAAGAGCAGTACAAGTTCTTAATCAATGAGCCATCTCTCCAGCCCAAGCTATTCTTAACTGAACCACAAATGTGTGTTGCTCAAATGCTAATTCAGTACTGCTTCACAGTACAGTTGACGATCAAATAACAGAATCACACTGAAATAAACACAATCATTCAGCCAGACGCAAACAACTATTTCTCCTCTAAAAACTTACAAGGCCCGAACCTAGCTCTGTAAGTTACCGTCTTTCATTTTATTCACATGGAAAGTTATCTTTTAAGAAGAGAGAGCAAAGTTCCTTGAGGGTCCCCCACCCCCTGCCCCAGGTGTTACGCACCACATTCTGCTTTGTTGTTTCCTCCAGGGTCTGGATCACATACAACCGATTTCGACAGCGCATGCTGTGTATATCTTCATAGCGGATACTACCATATTTCTGCAAGAAAGGATTGCAGTGGCTACTCATTCATAATAAATATCCACTTCTCTTACAATTGAATTTCATCAGACTCAATTCTCTGAGGCCTTGATTCTATTTCTATCAGTGACTTTGCACATTTCCAGCTCAGTGTTTTAAATATGTTCACTAGAGAAAATTATATCTATCTACAGTGTGTCTTGAGTAAGAACACTGGTCAAAGTCTTAGTTTGTGAAGGAAAATCATTTTTTAACTTTTTCTAGAGTGAGACATATTTAGACGTGGTCATCATTTGTGAAAGCAAGTGAATTTAATATCATTTAATGAAAAACAAGTTGAGGCAGAGGAAATTACACAATCTCAAGTCAATTCACAGAACTCAATATTATAGTAAAGTTAGATTTTAAGTTGTTACTTTGTTTGCATTGCTATCCTTAATATACAAGTATGCCATGCAATTATTATCAATATTTAAATATGATAAGTAATCATATTTATGGTACATAAAACTTACCTCATTGGATTCTCTAATCAAATCTGTAATATCCACTTTAGTGTGACTGCTTTTTTCATTATTGATATTTGAGCCCTGCTGAACATTTGAAGGCAATGGGCTGTCCTTATTAATGACATTGTCAAAGAACCTATCAAAAAGTGACAATAACATAAGAATTAATGCAACTAAAATAGTTGTAGCAGAAAATAGCACAGCTAATGGTTCCTAAGTCAGTCAGAGGTCAATTTTAAATGAGAACACGAGGGAAGGAGTATGAAGAAGAATCTAAAGATGGCTGGGAATTCTGAAAGTGGGTAGAAGGATTAGATGCATGGCAGTGAAAAAGAACATGCGGGAAGTGAACAGGTTCAGAGCACACTTTGCAAATACTCCAAACCCATCCAGAATGGACTGAATATCAGCTCTATAGAGGCTTGAAAGGGGAAACCAGTTTTAAAAAGGTAAACTGAGGCCTTATCTTTAGAGTTCCAAAGGCCAAAGGGAGATGTATATATTATTCTGTACAGAATGGGGTTTGATGAAGCATTACAACAGTTGCCAATTCATTTTCATTCACTTAACTCACACACATATATGTGTAATACATCTAGTACTCAAAGCCCCATGTGCCCCAATACAAAGTAGCATTCATACAAAATATACCAGGAAAATAAAATTCAACCTACCTGACTGATATCACCTGGAAATCAGGATAATTTCTCCTACTGGATACTTGGTTACTAACTAGCTCTTTGCCCCTCACATTACTTTCTATATAGACATTCTAGTCAAAAGTAGAATTGCTAATGTTAGGATTTATTGAATTAATGATGTTAGCACAAATATGAAAGGAACCTAACTGTTCCCATCAGAGTGATACACTTTTGCTGTACTCTATTTAAAGACAAAGAGCAGGACTTTGGGCCTAGCCTTTTCTTTCAACCGGCTCTATGACTTAAAGCCAGTTGCTTGAAGTTTCTAGGACTCAGTTTCCTCACTGGTAAGTTAAGCAGACTGAACAATGTAATCACTCCTATCTCCACTGGATTTAAAGATTTAAAATTTTTACTTATGTGTATGTCTGTCCATACAACATACATGTTGGAATGCCCATGGAGGCAAGAAGAGGCTATTGAACCCTTGAGTTGGACAGCAGCCTGACATGGGTGCTGGGAACCTAACTCATTTGAGATAGCAGCAAACATTCTCAATTGCTAACCCATCTCCCCCTGGGCCTACCTCCAGATTTAAATGCCTCTTACATACCTGTTTAGTGCTGTCACAGCTTCCGCATCATCTTTACACGTCACAAGTTTGTCTAAATTATAGTCAAGTATTGCCAATCCCAGCTGTAAAATGGCCTTTATCCCATCATAGAAGAAACAGTCCACCACGTTCACTGCGCTTTCAATAGGCAGCACACTAATGAAGAGTGTGAGGAACCACGAGAGAGAAACCGAGGAAAAGAAGGTCATATCGGTCATGTGTTCCGTCAGCTGAGGAAGGTGATCCCTAATAAGTTCTTCAAACACTGCCTGATCCACCAAGGCACCTGGAAAACATTAAAGCAGGTTAAAAAAACAGCCACCTTCCGCAAAGCTTTCTTTATGCCTCTGCTCCACTTTCATCCACTTTCTGGTACAGCTCAGCTCACTTCCTTCAAACAGGAGCCCTTTATTGCCTTCCTATAATTTGCACATGTCTGCAGCTGCGAGTTGAGTGTCATGAACCTAAGAACGCTTGAGAAATTCCATTTTAATTCATTTGAGGAGTTCCTGAGTCCTTCTTACAGTCAGAGACATGCACTAGATACTACTAATGAGGTGAGATCATCAAAGAATTTATTATCTTTTGTGGTGGTAGGATGGAACTCAGGGCCTGTGCATACCAGACAAACATGCTACCACTCAGCTATATATAGCCTTAGTGCAAAAAGAATTCAATCTTGATAGAAGTAAAAATAAACGTACATAGAACTTACGACAAAAGTCAACATAATCAAGACCTAGTTACAGCACTGAAAACTTAGGAAGGTACAAAGGGTAGATTACCTATAGGTATTAAAATGGGATCACAGATGCTTATATATTTGATAACTAAAGACAATGTCAAATAATTAACAAAGAAAAAATTGATTGTTTTCTATGTAAACCCATACAAATATAGAGACTTTAAGTTGATTAAAATCTCCCTCCCATCAAGAAACTATTAAAATTTCCTTAGTAGTTCTGGATGTCTCAAATCATCATTATATTGGCAATCTGGTGTTTATAAACTCAAATTAAAATTTCGTTTTCATTAAAAAGCAGGCCAGGTCCTTAATTTTGAAAAAGTAACAAACATTTTTCCAAGTACACATTCAATATTCAAAGATCTTTGCCCAAGAGTATCAGTCAATGTGACATTTTGATATGGCTTACGTTTTCTGTCTTTCTCAATCTAATTTACCAACTCTTCAGTTTGACTGGCAATTTAATAGGTAAGAAGTCTGGGCCATCTCTGTAATCTCAGCACTTGGGAGGCCGAGGGTACGCACCCTGAGCTACACAGCTGGACTTTGTCTCAACAAGCAAAAGTCCCCCAAGTTCACAAACAAAATCACTCTCCTACGAAATAGACGATAGACATTAACATAGTTTAGAAAAGACTAAGTATTGTGAGGTTGAAAAAATTTCTTAAGTTAGAAACTAAAGTACTCTTCAACTCATGTATCAATAATATATAGAGTTAAGACCTTCTGGAAGTGATTGGTTCACAAGGTCTCTGCCTTAATGAATAGATTAGTTAATTCATGGATCAAGGTAAATTTTCATGGAAGCAGATTTGTTATATAAAGAAAGCTAATTCTACTGTGCTTGCTGTCTGGCCATATGATATCCTATGCCACATTATTATGATGTAGTAAGACCCTGCCAACATGCTGAGCAGATGTTGGCACCATGCTCTTGGACTTCCCAGCCTCTTATCACTAATTAAAACAATATAAATTACTGTCTGTGCCATTTGGCGATGCAGCAAAAATAGATGAAGCCAGTGCTCATGTGTAGATATATGTATGTATGTTTGTATGTAAGTATTCTTTTTGTATTTCTTTTTTACCAATGATTCGACGATTAAAATAGTCAGGCAGCATTCGTTCACATACAGCAACCAGAAGCCAAAAAGCTTCTTCTTCTTTTGCATATAGAAGCAATACTGAAGTCAAAATGTTCATCGCCTAAATTTCCCAGAAAAGAAACAAAATGTGGTTATTGCTTAGGTAATAACTGCACTTCTTATTCAAGCATAGAACTTTTGAATAGCAATAATGACAAGTGAGTAATAATAATGGATATATGAGGACTTGAAGTTAATCCAAAGTAAAGCAATGTATAGTTAGGTTGACGTTTGCTAGCCGGGTATTTTATACAGCAATATTAAAGGAAAATGAAGCAGTAATATCGTGGATATAAAGCACCATAAATAAAAACCAATTAGGCTGATTTCAATGCGTTAAAATATTAATTATTGAGTCTTTAAAACAAAACACATAATTGTGGATGATATTCTAATATTGGAGAAAACAACCTTTATAACTATTTTCTGGAGATTATCCCTTAGATATCAAATCAAATCAATCACTTCATTCATTCACAAAATTTAACACCGCCTCCCTATTAAATACTTTGTTTTCTTAGTTATTCTGATTCTCATCACTGTAGAAACTCTTTATCCGGTACATGCAATTTTGATTCAAATCCTAGATTTTCTACTAACAAATGGTTTTTACATATATTCTTTCTTTTCCATTGCATTGTTACCTAACTTCCTGTTTATATTGGACAGATGAGAACGGGCTTGGAGTTCTTTCAAAGTACCATTTGTAGAGTACTGTCATTATTCAATCTGTCTGGCACTCCTCTGGAAGACTACATTTACAAAGCTGTCTTTACTTGACCTGATGCAGAGTTCATCTAGTACAAAAGCCTTTTCTCTGGAGTGTTTGTTAAAAATAATCAGAGGTAGCTATTGAGCATGTGGCTGCCCGAGACAATGGCTAACAGCTGGGATGAACAAGAAATTAACAAAAACATTTGAGGAAAATCTGGGGGCTTTGAAAAACTCTAGCATATCCTTAGCAATCTAGAAGCCCATGTTCATGCATATTGCTTTAGACACATCTATAGCTTTATGTACACTTTTTCTGAGCTACATGGGCTGAAAGCCAGGGCTTTGTATATGCTTGGCAAGCACTGTATCACTGAACTATATTCCAGCCTGTACATATGTTAAGAAAGAATAAGACCAAGAGCTCATTACTGGCTAATTTTTGGGCTTTTGGCAATCATAAACTGGTAGGGAATAGAAAAAGAAAAGAAAAGAAAGTTCAGTATCATCAGTATTACTCAGCTGTGAACTCTGTGAACTACAATGATGGCTGGCCCTGCAAGACATTGCCCATTGGTGCAACAGTGGAACAAATGCTGTGGGAGTAACCGCCCACTTTCTGATCATATGTTTATGGCCCATTCCACAAAAAGAGACCTATACCTGAAACCACTATCAGGTCAAGAATCTATAGCTAGAGATATCATAGATCCTAGTAGAGAATCTACTACTATTATTCTGTCAAATGAACATGGTATTAAACCAATGCCTAATGATATCATACCCATACATTAAAGTATCTCCTAATCCTCATCAGAGAAACTTTGCAGTAGATGATGATCAACACAGAGAACTGCAATTAGCCAAAGTGCAGATAATAAGAGATTATAGAATATTAAGGCATAATGGGAGCATATATACTGCACCACCTCCTCCAAAAGCTCAGGGGTCATTGCTTGAGGGTACGAGGCAGAGGTGATGAAGAACTACACGAAAACAGTGTCTTTTGGATACAGCAGGGCATCTGCAAATATGAACTCACAGTGGTTATGATAAGATGTACAAGACATAATCAAGCTTAAGGCAGCCCAAATCCTAGCGCATATAGGGTAGTTGGGCATAAAGTTCCACAAAGTTCCAACCCTCTTTGAGTAGCTATGGGTAATTCTTAGCTGCTTGGAGAGGAAGGATCAATTTTCTCTATGAATGCATCCCTTGATATGCCCACCATGCTGCAGTGGGAGGCCACACATCCAAGAATATTTAAGCAGCACAAATTGGCCTTGATAGGGCAGGGGAAGAAAAAAGAATACAAAGTTGGGTAGGAAGGGAAAGAGGGTGAATCTGGGAAGAGTTGGGGCAGGGAGGTCAAAATGATTAAGAAATGTTGTGCAAATTTCTCGAAAGATTAATGAAAACATATATTAAAAAGAAATTTTAACAAATAATTTAGGATCACCAAAATATTAAAAAATTATCTAAAATTAGGTACATTTAGGTACCCTAACTAAAAAGATAAAAAAGAGAGAGTGAACAACAATTATTGCCACCTGAATAGAGGTACAATGCGAACAACCATATAACAAATTCGATAAAATGGACAATTGTTTTTGAAAAATTGCCTCCTACTAAAACCAGTTCTAGAGGAAGGATAAGTCAGAATGGATATACAATAAGAGATTAAAATAGTAATGGAAACACTTTTTACAAAGACAATGAAGAACAGATGGCTTTACTGGCACATTCTACTAAATATTTAAAGAAGTAATACCAGTCCTTCACAAACCATGTAAAATCTAAGAGCAAGAATCATTATCCAACTCATTCTAAAAAATCCTGACACCAAAATTAAAGAAAGGTGTTATGAGACAGCTATACAGTAATGTATTTTTTAAATATGAATGTAAAATCCCCCCCAAACAATAAGAAACCAAACTAGAGAGCATGCAAAAATATATACTAAGAGCAACTGGTATTTATCCTGGAAATGTAAATGAAGTGCAAAATATTAAAACCAATTAATGAAATATTTCATTTTAATAAAAATCACATAATAATGTCAGCGGACACAAAGAAAAAATATCTGACAAAATTTCATGAGGCCTCAGCCTTACACAAAGAACTACTTTTGGCAAGTGAGGAAATTGGGAATAGGAGAGGTGGTCCTCCCCAGGGAAGAGATATCATTGGTTTTCCAGTACCAATGGTCAGTCCTGAAAACATGCATATGAGTAAATTATATGGACTGAATTGATTATATTTAGGAAAATATATGCATATACATATATATATGCAATAACAAGTAGTGACAACAGAGGTCATGAATTTGAAGGAGAGTGGAGGGGTATGAGAGAGGTTTTAGAGAGGGGAAAGAGAAGGAAGAAATTGCAATTAAATTATAATATCAAAATATTAAAGATCCAATACTCCTTTTCCTGCTTTGATTTTTTTGAGACAGAGTCTCAGTATGCAGCCCAGGCTAGACTTGTATTCAAGATAGCCCTACCCTAGCCCCTAAGTGTTAGGATTGCAGGTGTGTTTCACTGCACTCACATCTGTACTCCTGCTCATATTTTAAAAAGCTCCTCAGAAGCTAGAAAGATAAAGGAAATTCTTCAACCTGATAATCTACACAAACCCTCCACAGTTCACTGTATACTTTATGACAAAAGGGTGGCTCTCCCTAAGATAAATAACAAGTCAGATGTGCTGGGGTACACTTGTAATCCCAGCTGCTCAAGAGGCGGGAGTGAGAGGATCACTGAAGCCCAGGAGAACGAGACAAGCCAGGAAAATAATGAGATGCGAGCTCAACAAAGTCAAATAATAATATTAACAATTCCATATCGAAGGTATATATCCATTTAGGCAAGAAAAAAGGAAGAACAGTATTCAGATTGGAATCAAGAAAAATGTCACTATTCAGACTCCATGATTTCTTAATGTGGTGGGCTAAAAGAAAATGGCCCCAAAGGCAGTGGCCTATTAGAAGTTGGGACCTTGTTGGAGGAAGTGTGGTCTTGTTGGAGGAAGTGTGTCATTGTAGAGGCAAGATTTGAGGTCTTATACATGCCCAAGATACCACCCAGTGTCTTAGACCACTTCCTGTTGTGATAAGCTTCATTTCTGCCTACATGCCGCCATGGCCTGCCATGGTGATAATGGATTGAACCTCTGAAAATGTGAGCCACCCCAATTAAGTATTTTCCTTTTTTAAGAGTTGTTGTAGTTATGGTGTCTCTTTACAGCTATAGAAACCCCAAGACACATATATTGAAACTTGAAAGAAATCTACAAATGATCTTCTGAAACCAATATAAGCTGAGCAAAGCTAAAGAAGACAAGATTCGTATATAGAAAGATGAATTGTATTTTAATATGCTAGCAAGAACTAATAAAAAAGATAAAAATGCATCTACTATAATCTCAAAATGATTAAAATACTCAGAAACAAAATTATCATCAAAAGAAGTTTTAAGATTTTACATTGACTTGGGAGGCAGAGGCAGGTGAATCTCTGTGAGTTTGAGGCCAGCCTGGTCTATAGAGCAAGTTCCAGGACAGCCGGAACTGCTACATAGAGAAACCCTGTCTCAAAAAAGCCAAAAAAGAAAGAATTTACATTGAAAGCTATCTAATATCTTAAAAGAAGAAACTAGAGATCTACTAAATAAAGAAGGAAACACCCTGTGTTTATAGTTTGAGAGATTTAATATTGTTACTATGCAATATTCCCCAATATTCTGCAGAGTCCATGTAATGGCTATCAAAATCTTCGTTTTCCTTCTAAGATGACAGTATATTTTCAACCCATATCCTAAGTCCCTCAATAATCTCGCAAAGAAAACTGTCTACTGACTTAAATGATTGTTTTTCCTCACTAATAAATAATATTCTGTAATACTTCAGCTATTATCTGCTTGTGTTTAGTAGCAGGCAACTACCCAGTTAACACAGTGTACCCCTAAAGGATTTTTACCAAGGACTCTCCCATTGCCTCGAAAATAAAATTCACACCCCTGACTAACCCCAAACTACCCAGTGCTTTCTTCAAGTAAATTATTGCATTATTCATCTTCTCCTCTATTAAACAGTACATGAGTACCTGGCCCTACGCATATTCTTTATTTCTCTCTATTTGTATTGGGCTGCACCAATCCTTGCACTTAGAAAGTTCTCTAATTCCATTTCTATATGTCCCAGATTCATAAGCTGCCAAGACCTGCAAGTGCTACCTCTCCCATGAAGCCTTCCCTGATCCTCCCAGGTGAAAATAATTTATTATAAATCCTGACCACACTTAGTATTCTTCTAATAGTGTGTCTCTTTGGATTTTCAATTTCCCAATGAATATTCATTTAACTACCTATTGTCTGCATATGCATATGGACACATGCGTATGGGTGTGCTCTTCTGTTGCAGGCACATGTGAAGGCCAAAGATCAATGTTGTGAGTTCTTCCTCAATTATTATTCCACTTTATTTATTTGTTTGTTTGTTTTTGAGACATGGTTTATTCACTGAACCAAAGTTTGCCATATCAGCTAGACTGGCTGGATAGCAAGTCCTCAGGATCCACCTCTGCCCAGCACTAGACTTGCAGATGCATTCTGCCATACTTGGATTCTTTTACATTGATGCTAGAGATTCAGACTCAGGCTCTCCTGTTTGTACTACAAGCATGTTACCCACTTAGCTTTACCTCCTCAGACCTGATCCATATATTTTTGCTGATATGATCTTTATATGATATATCTTTATATAGCCTTAAGTATGTGGCACAGTGTCTTTTACAGAACGATAATCCAGTTGTTAGATGAAAAAAAAAGTGGTTAGAAACTCTTGGTGCTCTTTAGAGGACCTGAGTTCAGTTCTCAGTGCCCATGTTGGGCAGCTTACAGCTGTCTGTGGCTCCAATTCCAGGAGATCCAGTGCCCTATTCTGACCTCCATGTGGCAAATATCCACACAGAGATACACACATTGGATAAATAAAAAGAAATATTAAAAAAGAAAATAGTAAATATATCAGTAGTTAAAAATGCTCCCACTATCAACCTACTTAATTTAATAATAGCCGCTATCAATCTCAGCTCTCATTATCATATGTCCCAAAATTCGAGAGTTGAATTTGGTAATAACATTTGAAATATGCACATAATATTTGAGATCACAGTGAAGTTATACCTGGCAGTATCCTATTTTAGGATTCCTATATGCATAAGCTGTCAGTACCCGCCTCAGAGCAGATATGCCAGTATCACTCTGAAAGGCTGGGTGCTCAGGCAGAGAGCGGCGTAAATCACGTTCAATTTCTTCAGTAGCCAGGTTGCAGGTCCCTAAGGATTGTTCAACTACTTCAGCATAATAACCAGGATTAGTAGCCATGTCATTAACAGCACCTGCAAGGACAATAACATCCACATTCAAACTGAACAATAAAACACAGCTGAGATTTGCAGATAGTGACATATTTCTATTTTATTACCTTAAGGTTTAGGTTTATGCTCTAATAATATCCGAATACACAAAAACAAAGAAAATGAAGAAAAAGGGAAACATAACACGAGTCTACACCAAGTTATTATTTATCAGAGAATAACATTTTAATTAAGTTTTTTCTTTTAATTTTCTCTTATTGGTATAGATGTGAACACTATACCCACCAACTATACACATCTTGCCTACTAAATTAATCTTGTCAGACAGTAGATATGTAGATATTTAGGTAAGCACATATAAATATAGTTTTTTTCCCTTTTTGACTAGTCTAAACTTACATCCTGGCCATCTTTGTACATAGAACATAACGTCTAGAAGTGGCATACTTAACATTTGCCTGTTAAATGAATAAAGCAAATAATGTAATACCTGAGAAAAGCATCCAGAGCTCTCCCCGCAATGTCTCTGGAATCCCTCTTACAACTAGATCTCGGGTCTTCTTTGTCCGGAACATGCTAACACCACGCCCACATTCAGAAAATAAGATGTTCCAAGATTGTTCCTTCATCTTTTCTTTCAACTGTGATAGAAAAATCAAAGTAAAGAGTGAAAAATTAATCCCTTTAAAATAACTTGCTCATCCTATTTACCATGAAATCATTTATGCAGACCAAAACCTTACAAAATAAAAAATCATATTCACATTGTAAAGTACTAGACCTTTAACATAAAAACTTAAACCCACACGAACCTAACTGATGTAAGAGGTGAAATATGCTGTGAATATGTTTTATTGCCATTGGTTAATAAAGAAGCTGCTTTCAGCCAATGGCTTAACAGAGTAAAGCCAGGCTGAAACAGATATATAGAGAGAGTAGGTGGAGTCAGGGAGAAGCCATGTAGCTGCCCCCAGAGAAAGTAGCAAGCTTTGCCAGTACACCACGACCTCGTGGTGTTGCACAGAATAATAGAAATAGGTTAGTTTAAGATATAAGAGCTAGCTAGCAATGTGCTTAAGCTATTGGCCAAGCAGTGTTTTAATTAATACAGATTTCTGTGTGGTTATTTCAGGAGTCTGGTCGGCCTGGAAATGAACAAGCAGCCTCTACCAACACCTAACAGCTTTAATTTACTATCATTACTAGTTAAACTTCTAAAAATTGCAAAAGTCTAACACCTAGGAGGCAAAAGCTCCAAACTACCGTTTTTCCCAAATCAACTTGGTTTTATCACAAATTATTAGAAATCTAAGTGACTAAAACTCAATAACCACTATTATCACTATTGATAATGGTCTGAGTGTCGTGGAGCCCAACTAGACATACTTCAAACCTCAAAAGTAAACCTTTCTGTTCTGATACCATCCAGTATAGCGGTTCTCAACCTATTGGTCGCAACCCCCTTAGGGGTTAGAGGTCGAATGACTCTTTCACAGGGGTCACCTAAAACCACCAAAAAACACAGATATTTACATTCTGACTTATAAGAGAGGCAGAATTACATTTATGAAGTATCAACAAAATAATTTGATGGTTGTGGGTCATCAAAACATGAATGACTGCATTAAAGGGTCACAACATTAGGAAGGTTGAGGACCCACTGATCTAGTATGTTCTAAGATTTTTTTCATTGACTGTTCCAATCCATAGATTTAATTATTTTGTTTCCTTACCATTTTAGAATCCAGATTCTCCAAATTTTGAGGGTGAAACACTGTCATCAAAGCTTCAGTGTTCACTGTTTTGCTGCATTCTTTTTGGCAAGTCAAAGGTTGCTCCTCAAAATTATCAGCTGGGCCTGTAGAGTCAGAGCTAACAGCAACCTGGAAAGGAAAGTCAAAATGTGATTGCCCTCAGTGGATGTTCACAGGTTTCATTAAGAAAAATGTGTTGCCGGGCAGTGGTGGCACACACTTTAATCTCAGCAATTGGGAAGCAGAAGCAGGCAGATCTCGGTGAGTTTGAGGCCAGCCTGGTCTACAAAGCAAGTCCCAGGCTAATCACAGCTGCTACATAGAGAAACCCTGTCTTGAAAAACAAAAACAAAACAAAACAAAAAAAAACAAAACAAAAAAAAACAAAAAAGGAAAGAAAAATGTGTTAATGTTCTATCTGGTATTCATAAGCCACAATCTACGGATATATTAAATATTAAGGAAATGTCTCAGAAGCATTATTTTCTTGCCAAAATTAAGGCTGTCAGAATCTCAGTGAGTCCATTCCTCAACAAAAGCAACAAAATACTGTCAACCACATATCATTTTAGAACACCACAAGCTAACCAAAGGCAAAGAATGACTTTAAAGAATTTAATCAAGGAAAACTAATGCAGGATGAAGATACACTCAGTGGAAGTGTGACTCTCCGGCAAGCTTAAGAGCTGGTGTTCCATCCCCAGCACATACAGAAAAGGAGGGGGAGCGGAAGGAAGCATCCATCCCCGGCATATGCAGAAGAGGAGAGGGAGCGGAAGGATGCATAAAATCCCCCCATGAACCAGAGTAAGAGCATCAGAGCCTGAGTGGCTTTAACTTGAGGCTGCCCCTGCCCTCACTGAGAAAAGCCAGAAAGAAGGCAGCCAGTGGATCTTTTGGAGTTTCCCAAGTGCCACCTTATCCTCCATATAGGATCAAATTTGATCAATATTTGATCAAACTGGCAGCTCCTGGCAAGTCTCTACTTCTAAGGTGTTACTTGATTTGAGTCACAGCTCAGCTCTGAAAAAGAGCCCTGTTTCCAGGGCATTAAAGAAAACCCCAGTGACCTGCTTCTAACATCACAGCTGTTTAACTCTGTGATTTCATTTGGGGCTTAAAAAGTGTGTGGGGGGGGGGCTAGAAATCCGAAAGAAAGATATGGATAACCAGATAACCATATGGCACTTTGAAAGGTTTAGACATATTCTTAGGTATCTAGAAGTACGCACATGAGCTGCTCAAGGAAATAAAAGTGCAGAAAAGAGTTAGTCAACTCTGGCTGTCTTTGAATGTGGGAAATGAAAAGAAAGGTGATTTAGAAACTTCTGAAGTTGGAGAAACATCTTTACACAAAATATTTCCTCAGATAAAAGATGGAAGACTTAAAGGTTCAAGGCAATTAAGGAAACCTAATCTCTAATCGAATGATTACTAAATTCTGCTAACTCAGAAGTTCATCTTGGGAAGACAGGCTTAAAAATAAAATCAAGAACTTAAAAAAGCAGCCTACAGAAAACGTGCCTGAGAGTGACTGGTTGTTAGATTTCATATACAAACATGAAGCAGATAATAAGCATACCTAAAGAGTTGAAGAAATTACATTAAAAAAATAAAGGATCTAGATTCTCTCTTCACAGGTCCAGAAAGTCTCAGATGAAGGATCAACAAAAGTGTTTTTGCAAAAGCCCAAAGGACAAAGATTTTATGGACCATAAAGTCCCTAATCAATTTTCCCCTTGTGGTATTAAAGCACTCATTGACAAAACATAATTGAATGCCATGGCTCTATCTCAAAAATTTACTTACAAGAACAGGTTATAGGTTGCTAATCTCAATACTAGAAGGTGGTGAAGCCATTAGGAACCTGCAACCACATATGAACTTTAGGGGGTGAAATTGATTGGCATTGCTCTAGTTAGCTCTCATTCAGCTGTGACCTAAAAAATAAATGCTTCTAATGTTAAGACTCAAAGATTTGGGGGTAGCATTTATTTATTATAATATACCCTAACTATTAAGGATGGCTTATGGGTGTGTCTTTAAAAAATACCTCATAGGGTATTTTGATTCAGTGTACAAAAGTTCTTGCTGTAGCCTGAACTGGCCATACTCTGGGATAGGATTGATGACCAGTTGTCACCAGAGAGCTTTCATCCAGTGACTGGGAGGCAGCTTTAGAGACACAAAGCCAAACACTGGGCAGAGTTCTGGGAGTCCTGCTGAGGAGAAGGAGGTGGGGTTGTAGGAAACCAGGTGATCAGAAACATTGCAGGAAAACCCTCAGAAATCACTAGCCTGGCTCATGGGAACTCACAGAGTCTGAACCACAACCAGGGACCAACCTAGACCCTCTGCATATATGTGACAGTGGTGGATTGCCTTGCCCAGCCTGAGTACAGGGGGAGGTGCTTGATCTTATGACAGCTTTGATATCCTATGCTTTGCTGAAGCCCATGGGAGGCCTGCCCCTTTCTGAGCAGTTATGAAGGGGGTGTATTGGGGGGGCAGAGGGCAGGAGGAGGAGAAAAGGAAGGGGAAGCTGTGGTTGGAAAGTAAGATAGATAAATTTATATAAAAAAGTTCTTGTGCTGGGCGGTGGTGGCACACACCTTTCATTCCAGTACTTGGGAGGCCAAGGGATCTCTGTGAGAGTTCAAGACCAGCCTGGTCTACAAAGCTAGTTCCAGGACAGAATCCAAAGCTACAGAGAAACTATGTTTCAGGGGAAAAAAACCAAGGGGGCTGGAGAGATAGCTCAGAGGTTAAGACCACTGGCTGCTCTTCAAGAGGTCCTGAGTTCAATTCCCAGCACCCACATGGTGGTTCACAACAATCTGTAATGAGATCTGGTGCCTTCTTCTGGCCTGCAGGCATACATACAGACAGAATACTGTACACATAATAAATAAATAAATAAATCTTTAAAAACAAAAACAAAAGGTTCCTGCTGTACAAGCATGAAAATCCAACTTCAGATCTTCAGAGCCTATGCAAAGCTGTACGTAGTACTATATGTGTACAATCTCAGCACTTCTAGGCCAGATTACAGGCTGATGTGAGAGAATTCTCAAAGCTTGCAAACCAGCTACAGTGACAAGAGTGATTGCCTCAAACAAGGCCAGAAGTGAGGTGTCCAGAGCGAACAAGAATGAGTCTGATTCAAACAAGGTCAGAGGAGAGAAGTGACACCAAAGTTGTCCTCTGACCTCCATATGGGTACTGTAGCTTTGTACTGCACATGTCTTTATTCTGCACACATGCATGGGAGGGTGAATACATAGGCCTTAGAGAGAAGGTAGAATTCATTTTATGTCTTGAGAGGTAAGTACTGTACTGGTAGGCAAGATGAAGGGTATCTGAAAGAAAGATAACCATGTGAACCAAATGACAGAAGATTGGAATGCAGTATTTACACTAGGAAAGGGATATAGAAATGGCCACCAGGAGATGGAAACTAAGAATTGAATGTTTCAAGAAGAAATCAAAGGGAAGAGGAATAGAATTGCACTATATTCTTGGTTCTCCAACTGTCTGCTAACACACTTTGCATCTCTCTCCATTTCTATAGCTTGACTCAAGCAGAACCCTTGACATTTATTCTCTCCCTGTCTAAATCCCACGCTTCTTTGGGCTTTTATGAAATGTCTATTTGCTCCACTGTACAAAAAGGCAACAGGGCCTTTGGCAAAAGTACAAGTTTGTTTGTTTAAATTATTGGCATGTGGGGAATTGTAGGCACAGGCTGCTCGTTCATTTCCTGACTGCTCATACCTGAAGTAATCACACAGAAACTGTATTAATTAAAACAATGCTTGACCCATTAGCTCAGGATTCTTACTAATTATCTCTTACATCTTGAATTAACCCATTCCTATTATTTTGTATTTTACCACGAGGCTTGTGGTTTACTGGTAAGTTTCCAGGGCATCTCTTTTGGCAGCCACATCACATCTCCTTGACTCCGCCTACTCTCTCTACATCTCTGTTTGGATTTCCTGCCTGGCTTTATTGTTCCCTGCCATAGGCCAAAGAAGCTTCTTTATTCACCAATGCTAATAAAATATATTTGCAGTATACAGAGGGGAAATCCCACATTAGGGAATAAACCCAGGATCTCAAGATTACAGGACACTACCACAAGCCACATCACCATCCCCCAGAGAAAGGCTTTGGGGGCCACTGTTAGGATTCAGGCATTATGCTGGCCCCTGTCACCTAGCAGGATGAACCCAGGCAGTACCCTAGCCAGCCCACGGTCCTATGGTCCTATGGCGGCTACATCACTAGCATGTATGCAAGTGCAAAGGTTCCTTTAAGAGAAGCTCCACCCACTTCTGCTCTCTCTTTTCCACTGTTCCTCTGAAGGGGAAGGCAGAACTTTTCTTGTCCTCTCTCTCTCTCTCTCTCTCTCTCTCTCTCTCTCTCTCTCTCTCTCTCTCTCTCTCTCCTCTTTGCTTCTCTCCTTCCCCTTTCCCAACTCCCTTCCGTTCCCCCAATAAAACTTCCCAGTAAATTCTATCTGCCTGGCCATGTTTGTCCCTCACCAGTCATAGGGCTTCCTGCAAGGGTTCCACTCACACCATTTCATAACAGCCACACAGGCATGAGTTCAAATCTGGCTCTCTCAATGAAGGAAGCTAAGGAACAAATTATTAAACATAAATGAGCTATAATTTGCTGGTTTTAGAAATGTATTGCTTCATTCTCAGTTTCCCTACATGACAAGACAATTCTCAAAACAAGATCTGGCTTCTAAGGCAAACAAAAAAGCTAGAGCAACTATTAGTAAAGCCAAACCCAAGTGCACAACTAAAGAAGCTTTGAGTAACATATGGTAAAGATTAAGCTGGTGTTTCCTAGACCCTTTATCTAAGAATATGTTAACAACTGCTCCTGTTAAACATTAAGAAAAGGCTAGCCTCAAGGAGGCAAAGGAAAAGAGTCAGACGATGGCATTGGTTTAATGGAAAGGAGGTAGTATTTAAAAGGATTCATAAGAGGTCAAATAATTTTACAGGGACTATTTGTAGCTTGAACTGAAGGAACTGAGAGGAAAAATACAATAAATAGTACACAAAAGATAAAAAGAAATAAAGAGCAAATAAACATACAAAAATATTCAACAC